GGTTATTTTATTACCTTTTACCTGAAAATCAGCATTCTGCTTCCGTTGCACTGATGTGTTTGATGGGGTGGAACAGAGCCACTGTTGCAGGATCCACGTTGCCTCGGAAACAGTTCATTTACAACCTGACTTTTTTATACTGTTTTCCTTACCTTTCTTACCTGTTACGGTGCCCCAGCTACAGAAAGGTGGTGATAGTTTTTGCTGCGTTACAGTAAAAAATGTAGCAAAGTCTGTCCGTGTTGGCCGTTACTAGATTTTAGCGTTTCCTCAGTCCGGCGTCCTCTGGCACTGGGTGCTCTGGAGGCAGGACAGCGTGCCTGACTCTGCAGCACCCAGAGCTGAGGATGGAGGGTGGTGCATTTTTTGCTGCTGCTCCGAAGGTTCGGGCCAACATCATGGACGGAACAGGAGGCAGCAGATGACAGGGAGCGGGCAAATCTTCAGGGTGAGGCGCTGGTGCGGAGCGCAGGGAGCTCGCTGCTCACCATTGCCTGCGAAAGGTCTGCAGCAGGCAGGGGGTGCGTGGTGTGCAGCCCCCAGAGACTCGTTAGCACCAAGCACTGAGGCTGCAGCATGCAACAGTGCAGGAAATTGGTGACAAAACGTTCTGGGGCTTTCGGCTGGCAGGGGAGAGGGTTGCAGTTAGGTGAGGGAATTTGCATGTAATAGAGGAGGTTTTGCTGCTAATAGATTGCGGGTAAAAAAGGAATTTTGTGCTCCCTTTTGAAGCAGGTTTTTCTGAAAAAATGTTGTGTCACGGGGAAGTGTGTCTGTTCTTGAAAGAGGACAGAGGTGAGCACGCTTTGTCTAGCAGGAGCAGACCTTGCTTTAGCCAAAGACGAGGGAGCGGGAAGAAGAGACGCAGCCTTTCTCTTGAACCGGAGGTGTGTCAAGATGGGGAAAAAGCGACGTGAAGGCCTGGTGCAGCAGAGCAGAGGAGAGCGACCGAAGGTGCAGCTGACCAGGGTGAGTCTTTGCGGCGCAGAGGGGAGGTGGCCATTTCAAGGGGGGGGCAAAGTAGCGTTCACAGCATGGGCGGCAAACATGAAGCCGTTCGCACGTTCCTTGAAGCATTTCACTGTGGCTGTTAAGGGATGGATCCTGTTCCTGAACCCCGTCCCACGAGAGCTTTTCTGCAAAATGGCAAAGACCTTGCCTCTTGTTTTCTGCCTCTTTGGGCAAATCCTCCTTTTGTAGTGCCGCCAAATTCCAGAGTTAATCAGGCCGGTGTGGGGCTCTGATGGGTCCCGTCTGTTAGCTGCGGGAGTTT